GAAAATATATATATATATATATTTATATATGTATGTATGTATGTATGTTAGTATGTATGTATGTATATATATATATATATATAGTTATAACACATTGCAAAAGCAGTTGAATTAACAGGTGGTATTTTCGAGAGTAATTCGATATCCATAAGTTTCTTATTGATAGGATCGGGAGAGGTAGTCTAGTGACCACAAGTCGTAGCTATTTTTTATTTTACTGTTTGCATGGTTGCCGCATACCACGGGCTTGGCGCGCTTGGATACGCTCATTGTTTGTTTGGCACTTACCAGGTTTGTGATAATGACTTACATATCGGAATTCGCTATACGTTGTGATATGACAGATATTCAATAACTTCAGCACTGGTCTAGGTAAGCGCGTCCAAAACATACTGAAATACCTATACCCTGTACCGAGGGAGGACAGTACGCGAGTGATGACATTCAGCAACGATAGCGACTTCATATCATATAGGCATCACAACTTTAAGAAGTCCGGTAAAGACGTGGAGTTGGCCGAAATCGGCCCACGCATGGAAATGAGAGGTCAGTAGGCTGTATATGTTTACCTTTCATCGTATTTTGGAAAGCTGCTCGTTTTGGTCATTATTGCTTTGCTCCTGCATTCGTTGGAAGTCGAAGTCGGGCACGGAACTCATATTTCGATACTTTATTGTTCATCAAACAGTATATAAAATAATGTTGGGGACGATCGACCAGACGGAAGCAGAGACCGAATGGATCTCACGACCGCATATGAACACAGCTAAGAAGCGCTCTTATTTGTGAGCGCTGAGACAGTAGTAGTATCAATAAATTGTAGTTTACACCATATATTCACATGAGAGCCAATGTTACGGTTGCCCTCGATATTGTTTCAAGTCAATGGCAAATAATGAATGCCCTTCTCTCTTACACAATACTAATACTGTGCTGAGCATTCTTTTTATTCACCAGTCTGGGATGTAACTGAGAGATGCTACCAAAGCAGGATAGAAAGTGCTATGCCCTTTGTATTTTTATTAATGGATTTAGATTGATGCTTAACGGCTTTAATTTGATGGTCTTAATTTGTATTGAATATATACTACAACCCCCTCTCGCGAACCTCGGCGTCAACGGATTGTCCGCATCCCACTTCTGTAACGAAATAGGCGGGGGACTTGAGCTACTTGTAGTCCGACAAGAAAGCATTTTGGATGACACAAAGCCAACTTTTCGGAGATCGCCCGTCCTCTGGGGTGCGCATCGGCTCCCATAAGGATATAGACACGTGCAGTATTTGCACCATATATATATATATATATATATATATATATACACACACACACACTACACACACTACAC